CTTGATTTCTCTGAATCAGACATCTCTGATTTTCTAGTTTGGTTCCCTGGAATCCCCATCATACACATTTTGCATCTCATGTTGTATTGTTCATGTGGGATCACGTGGTAGGTTTAGACCTGTGTTCTTTTTCATTCCTTGTATTATTCCTTCTCTTTATTCTGACCTGTTTGACCCTCAGCTTTTCATGCTGATATTTGGCCACAGAGGCAGGTTAACAGTTCCCTTTCTTCCTTCCGCTGACCTTTTGGGTGCTGTTGAGGCATCTTCTGGTATGAAGCTGAAGGACAGGTGAGTGTTAAATGCCCCGTGTGAGTCCCAGCTCTGCTCCCGGTTCCAGCTTCCTGCTAAGGCTCACAGGGGAGACAGCAGGTGGTGGCTCAAGTACTCAATCCCTACGACCCATGTAGGAGATTCAGACTCTTGCCTTTTTCTCTGACTCCTAACCCCCAGTAAATATTCTTGTCTCTCGAACTAAAAAAATCTGAAAGACACACTCTCATGTATTTCCGACGGATATGTTTTGAAAGCACTGGATTGATAGTTTTCTTCTGTCTTCTTTGGAATGTTGCCTTGACTTTCTAAGTCAGTAGGTATGGCTAGGAAAGGGGCACCTTCCCTAGAACTCCTGTAGTAAAGATTTGGCTGGGACAGCCTGGTTTTCTGAAAAGAGGCTAAGGCCCTGGGAAAAGGATAGGCATTTTCTACACTGTTCCTCACACCTGGTGTCAGCCTGGATCTCATAGGAGGGAAAGTTGGTTGAGCCACTGTTAGGTTCCATCATCTACATCCATGTTGTAATTAGAGCTTTTCAACATAGGCTTTTGGTAGTGTGTTACTCCTTTTGTATCTCTACAGGCATGAGAACAAATTGGGGAATGGTGGCCTTAGATATCTGGGCAGACCCTGCTAATACTGGGAGTCTCTCTCTATGTGCCAATAAAGACGCCCTTGATGTGGCATGCAATCATGCCATTTGCATCCACTGAGCAGACACTCCTCTTTGGTCCCTGCCTCACAAGCAGGGTCTAGACTATTTCTTGGGTTTAGAAAGAATCAGAGACGGCAAACATCTGGCTCACAGGTCATAGAAAGCCTGCAGAATCATTAGGTCTGGCCCTACCAAAGCCACCACCGCAGGTGGAACTCAAAATTCAGAAAGACTCCAGTAGGCCAGTGCTTGTTCATAATTTACATGGCCTGCAAATGATATTATAAATATACAAATGGCCCTTGACAGAAGTTTCCATGCTCCTAACTTAGATGAACAACTTTGAAATCAAGAAAAATGATAAACACATCAGGAAGTAGGAGATTTGCCTATTTCTGCTGGGAGACAGTTTTTCAAGAGATAGCACTTTCATTTTTCCATCCTGAGATACCAACATGACTGCAAAAGCTTCCACGGCAGACCCTCACCCCAGCCACGGGGTCAGCTGTTGGTGAGGCGCTGTGCTTTCTCACACGTGTGCCACTAGCCTTCCTTTTCGATAGCCCCATTAGTGGTGATGCTTCAGCTTCGGAAGCTGCTTTCTCTTTTAAAGATGACCTCAATGTGTCTGATACTCAGTGGAATCCTGGATGAATGTCATGGAGTTAGGAAGTGCTTATCTCAGATCTGAGCTATAGCTGTGCCTCGAGTGAGGTCTGCGCACACTCTGAGAGCAAGTCAGGTGAAGGTTTGAGAAGAGCTTTCATAGGTGGTTCTCCAATCAAAAGGCATGAGTGGGGCTGGGACTGTGATACAGTAAGTTAAACTGCCACATGTGATCTCAGCATCCCATGTCCGCTTCTTGCTAATGCACATGGGGAGGCAGCAAATGATGGCCCACGTGTTGGGTGTCTGCCCCTCCTGTGGGACCATGATGCAGTTCCTGAGTCCTGGCTGCAGCCTGGTGCACACCAGACTGATACAGCCATTTGACTGTGCCTTTCAATAAATAAATGTTCAAAGAAAAGAAACAAGATATAGGCAGTTGGCTAAATCATGACGCTCATCTGTATAGACCAGGGAACCTTGCACATGTGACTCTGACATAAGGTAACCTCCTCATAAAATACAAGATCAATAGCCCTTTCAGTGCTGTTGTTACTACATCACATGGATTTTGATATTTTACTTTTGTTTCCATTTCTTCAAAACGGCTTCTTTCTCTTATTAATTTTTTCACTGACTCATGGGTCATATAGTAGCATCATTTTCTTCAAAAATGTTCTTGATTTCCATTTCCTCAGGGATACATTGGTCATTCGGTAGCATGATATTTAACTCCATGGTGTTGTAAATTTTTTGTTTTCTTTCTGTTGTTGATTTTGTTCTATGGCTTTTTATTTAAGGGGATGGATAGTAACTCTGTAATGGAGACTGTCACATCCAGATGTGAAGATACAATACAGTATGTATCTCTACTTCCAAATCAAAGAGGGACTCCCACTGAGACAGTTAAATATTTATCTTGGCGATAGGATGCTGGACTCTCTGCCATTGACCTTCAGTGTCAGGGTACACATACATAGCCGAAAGATGAGCTTATGATTGCTTATGAAGGACTATACTATTGTAATGATTTGGGGAGGGGATAAGGTAACTCCTAGAGCCTATGGAACTGTATCATAAAATAATTTTTAAAAAATTTAAGTGTTAAAAAGAAGTCTCATTAAACAATCTTTATAGAGTTCCTGAGTGATTTTTATTGTTTCAAATTTTGAATGACTATTTTTCAGTATTGTTTATTCCTGCAGTTCCATGTAAAATTAGAATAGAAACAAAGTTTTCCGCAGCCCTCCAGTAAGCCTCACTTTACCTCCGGCCACAGAAGGAGGCAGTTAGCTGTCTTTGTGAGGACAATTGCTTCTTCCTCTCTATGAAATACCTCACAGTGTAAAGTAGAAAAATAAAAACAGAAGAGAACCTTTCCAATTGTGGTGAGTGGACTCAGTACACCAAGGGAAGAAACTTCTAAGAAGTGACAAACATCTCCTCAGCCATGTTCTTGCCTCGCTCTAACTCTGTGAAGCAGGTTGCTACCGCACTTCCAGAATGTGTGGCCAACGGCTGTAAACAGAAGCAGCTCATCTTGCAGGTCCTGTTGGAGTGGCACAGTCCAGCCCCAGCACCATGATGCCCAGCAGCCCCTGGCTGCATGGTGTTCCTACAGTGACTCACTGAGGAGCTGATTCCCAAAGGGAAGGCTTGCTCGCAGCTACCAGTGCCCACTGATAACATGGAACCAGAGAGTGCGGATGCTAAGAACAGCGCACGGCCATATTGGACATCCATGAAGGTCATCTGTTTCTGCAAACACCATGAAAACTAGAAAGAGGCAAAGGGTGGATGAAGGTTTCCAACAAATGGAAACACAAATGGGGTTCTTTCTCACCAGGAAGAAGGCCATGGAGACAAACTCTGGGAGTTCCTCCATTTTCTTCCTTGAATTCCTGTATTTGGGATGTGCTTGCTGATGGACTAAGTACAGATGGTCCTGGGGCTTCCCGACAACCACCACCCCATGCTCACAGCCACAACCTTTCACATTGCCATTCTCTAATAATAAGATTTTTTTTCTCTACCACTGTCTAGGAGATCACCATGTTCCATCACTACCCATGCTCCTCTCAAAGCAGGGCCTTTGGTGAATGTGTTTGAAGGGCTGCAGGACAGAGGGAAGGTATGGGTCAAGATCACATAGCCCCAGGGCTAGCAGGACAGGGAACAGATGGCGAGCGAGCAGACACAGCCCTGTGCTGGCAGTCACGGAGATGGTAGAGGCTGAACACCACGCAAGTGGTGGATATATTGTGTGTGTACTCTCCCACTTGTGCCTTCAGAGGATTCCCCAGCACTGAGTATGACGGCAACTTCCAGGCCACTGCTGGTCAAGGCCACAGCTGATGTGGAGACTCTGTCCTTGACTGTGGGCTCTAGATTTAGATTATTTAAATCCTTTATTGAGGTGGATTTATGGAAGGGGGGCATTTGTCCATCTAATCTCCTGGCTAACTGAGGCTTCATTCAAAGAACCTGGTCATTTAATTCTCTCTGTGAAGATGAATTACCAAATGTGCCATGCCCCCCTTCCAGGTTCTCAGCATTGGGTGGTGAATGTGCACTATGATAAAGGATCTTGTAAGACCACAAAGTAATCATTCTGAACAGTAGATCTCATTACAGATATAGATAGGGTGGGTGATTGAAGGCATGTTCGCTGGCTTCTAGAACATTCTGGGAATTCACCTGAGAACATTCATTTGGGGCACTCATTTTCTTGACATTTTCTTCTTCCTCTTGGCTGTAAAACTGTTGAGCTTTTCCAGTGCCATTTTTGGAAGGCTCTGGATTGTCTCATTAATCACCAGAAACCAAAGAGTTTTCGTGCTAAGCACCTCACAGAGAGCTCTGTGATGTTTTCAGGTTTCGGCAAAATGAGGCACATGCTATGTAAGCTATCAAACCAAGTTTGCCTGAAACCCAGAACCCTGCACGGATTTCCCTTCTTAGCTAGAGTGTTGCTGGGAGTTTTTAAAGAAGAGCAGAAGAGAGGGCCGCCCCTTGTGATGCTGTTCCTCCGTGTTCTCTGACAGATCATGCCCCTTCCTGGGTCTTTCCCAGTCTTGCTTCCTCTTCTCCCACTTCCCCGCTCCTTCCTGGTAGTGTGGAGTGGAGTGTAGGTCTGGAACTGTGATGTGACAATCGTGGCAGCATCACAGCAGCTCCGGGAGAGTGTGACTGCCCCGCGGTGTAGCCCCCAAGCACCTCACTCACCCTCCAGGTTGGGCAGGACTGCAGGCCAGGGGCCAAGTGCAAGTGCATGGAACTCTGAATTTCTCGTAGCTCAAAGACTCCCTCAAAGCTGTGCATTTTTACAGGAAAAAGGCCATTTAAGACCCTCCTGGGGTGTCACCCCACCTCCTGCCACAGGACTGGAAAGAAACCATCTCCTGATTTCCATGGATCGGGCAGATTCCTACAAGCCTAAATCTGTGCATTGATGTGTTTTCAGGGAGTATTACATCACCATGGTGAAGTGGGCCACCAGTACCAAAGTCGCTGTGACCTGGCTGAACCGGGCACAGAACGTGTCCATCCTGACGCTCTGCGATGCCACCACAGGGGTCTGCACAAAGGTACCGTGTGTGTGTGTGTGTGTGTGTGTGTGTGTGTGTGTGTGTGTGTGTGTGTGTGTAGGGGATAAGCGTCAGTGGCCTCGACATCTGAGGTTATTTGGGCTTGAGAAATATGGACAAAATGCTGTGCCTCTGGCTGGTCCAGCTCACTGCATTCGGAGCCACCTTGTGGATACATGAAGTACTGCTGGAAAAGCCCAGGCTCAAGCTGTTGCTAGAGCTGTTGGGATTTCTAGTTTAGCTCATGGTCCTTCCCTTCTCCTCATTGCCTAACTGTGGCTCTTAGAGAGGCAGGGATCAGGGACTGGCTGTGGGCTGCAGAGCCTGGGGAAGCCAGCACTCACCTGCTGGGTTGCATTTCTACTGTCTGTGCTCCTTGGGACTCAGAACCAGGAAGTCCTGAATGCAGCAGGTCTCCCAGGGAAGTCAGCAACAAGACAGTGAACACACACACACACACACACACACACACACAGGGCACAAGGAAGGAAAGGCCTGGTGTGGCTAAATCACAGCCCAGGATGCAGGTCCCCTCACATGCATTTTCAAACATCTTGATTAATGCATTAGGCAGCTCTTTCAGAAACTCCTGGGATTTTAATTTTTGTTCTGGAGGGGTTGTTTGTTTTAGTGTTGTTGTTTGTTTTGTTTTTTACCTAAATTATCCTTCTGACACTGTGAGTGAGCAAGTCTTGCTGAACAGATCTATTGTGGGTCGCAAAGCCCCCTCCACCACCCTACCACCACAACCCTATCACCACTACCCCACCACCACCACCGCCCAGGAGCTCAGCTTTTCGTATCCTGGCCAGGTGTGGTTTCAAGATGAGGCACAAGGACTTGTTTCTATGGTCAGTGCAGATTCCAGATTGTTCTGACGGTTCCGGGGGGGGTGAAGCAGGAAAGAGTGGACATTCAGTGTAGCAGCTGAGGTTGCTTTGCACACATGTCTTCCCTGTGGGCCTGGGCAGCAGCAGAAACCATCCCAGGGGCTCACACAGTCAATAGCAGCCCCCAGAGCCAGGACAGCCCGAGCCCCAGGAGCCTGGTGCCCTGGGTGTCACCTCGTGTGCCCAACAGCTGTGTCAGGATTTTCCCTTTGTTGTGTGTGTGCCCCTGTCCACACAGTTTTGAGCGCATTTGCTCAGTATGTTGATGCCTTGTAAAGGACTTCGCTCTACTAGATTCTTCCTCACCCAGCCCATATGGATTTTCTGACTCCATGTCCAGCGCAGGCACATGAATCCTAAAACAATGTAATAATTCAAGTTGTTTCAACGGGCATGTGCCTGCCAGTGGTGCCCACCCAGTGGGAGTCAGGCCCTCCTCTTCTGTAGATTGTTCCCTGCTGTGGATTTGAACTCATCATTGGGGGTAGTAGCAGTGTCCTGGCTCAAGGGCACGTGCGGCTGACTCTGAGCCAAAACCCAAGACAAAGAGGAGAGCCAAAATGACCTCACACTGGATGAGCCACAGCGGCTCCTCTGGACTTGGGCAGGCACCATGTAGGTAAAGTGAAATTGTTTTGTGCATGGTTGGTCACAGACATAATACATCCCATTTTCTAACGCTCGTATTTCATTTCAGAAACACGAGGATGAAAGTGAAGCTTGGCTCCACAGACAGGTAAGAGTTCTGGGCATGGGCCCCTCCACTGCATCATCACTGGGTTCGCTGGGTGTCAGAGTTTTTGTGGTGGCAGAACCATGTTTAAAATTAAATCACGCGGGACTCTTGTGATCCTCGCAAACAGGCTCGGGGTGTTCCCATGGCCCCAGAGACACCACCAGAGGAGCTGGAACTTCCGTGGAAAAATAGCTTTAAAACAGAATTATTTATGTGAAAGAAAGAGTTACACACAGAGACTGATTGATTCCATCTGCTGGTTTGGTGCCCAAACATCCACAACAGCTGCAGCTGAGCCAGGCCAAAGCCAGGAGCTTCATCCAGGTCGCCCACAGGAATGCAGGAGCCCAAGCACTCGGGCCCATCTCCCACTGCTCTCACAGGGTACTGGGTAAGAAGTGGAGCAGCTGGGATTCAAACCAGTGCCCATAGGGGTGCCAGGGTTGCATTTGAACACGCCATACCATTGTGCAGGCACCAGAAACACTATTCTTTTGAATCTCAAGAAAGGTCATGTGATATGCATATTATGAAAAACGTGCATAGATTTTCATCTGTTTGCACAAAAAGAACTTTTTGCTCCATGTCCATGAAGTCCCCACATAAAACCTTTGATGTCAGATGACATCATTTTGGTGAATTCAGAGCAATGAGTTTATAAAAGTTATCTGCCTACAGTCAAACCCGACATCTGGTAGATATTCTTGTGGATGTGAAATGGACTCGCTGCAGGCCAATGAGATCCTTCTTCAGGATGTGACTTTAAAACTGTCTCCCCCAATTTTTTTCCCTAATGCTGCTAAAAATCAATCAATCAAACAATAAAGTTCCTTGGGATAGATTTTAGGAGCTCGAGGTGAAAAGAAATTGCAAGAAGGCTAGAATAAGTCACCCCGTGACAAAATTTTTGCAAAGTTAAACTTGGACAAAATGGAAAAATCTCAGCACTTCTTTTTTCACGTCTTCATGTCTGCTTCTATACTCTGACGTTATGAAGCATGGACAGGAATGTTCTGGAAGCTCAGAATTCTTGGTATCCTACTTAACGGGGTGAAAAGTGGCTAAGAAATCTATGAGCACAATCAAATTGGATTTGAATCTCGAGAATTATGGTTCAGGTACACGTCTTGACTGGAACTGTGAAATTTACCTTGAGAAATAAGTCAAGCTGGACAGCTGTTGCCACAGGCTCTCCAAGAACATCCTAGCTCTCTAACCACTAGCCTTATTTTTTTAATCCATGGAGTTAACTGTTTTCTAATTGTCTCAAGAGTGCTAGTCTTGAAGATAATTTCTTTAAACTGTATCATTTCTGTGCCCCATGCCAATTATGTCCAAAAGAGGAATGTCCCCATCAGAATGGTATGTCCAACCCAAGAACATATTATGAATGAAAGGATGCGGGAACCCTGGAAATGTAAGAATATTAGACTTGAAAGTTCTTGAGTGTCACCGAACTAAAGGTGCAGCATAAGTATCAAGTGATATTGTGATGTTCACCTTACATCAGACAAAGTTAGAGACAGGAAGGAAAGGATCATTTAAGCATCTATTACCTAAATAGTCAAGTTGTGCCAGTAGTTATGAATCATAGCAGTCACCATGTCGATTTCAAAAATGAATCACAAGAAAGACTATACGTGATGAATGCACAGCTAATGTCATATTCAAGAGTGAAAAGCTTTTTCCTGCAAGATCAGGAGACGAAAAAAAGAAAAAAAGAGAGAGAGAGAGAGAGAGAGGCCCACGGTCAGAAAGTGCTAGAAGACCTAGCAGAGAAATTAGGAAGAAAAAGTTACCCAAATTGAGAAGTAGTAAAATTGTTTATGGCTAACATGGTCTTATAAAGAAAAAACCTCAAAGAAAAAAAAAACTGTTAAAACTAGCCAATAACAAATAGGAACTGATAAACCCAACAAAACTATAGGATGCAAGATTAACTAATAAAAATCAGACATGTATCTGTAGACTAATGAGAACCCATTCAAAAAAGAAATGAAACAATTAAAAACACAACAAGAAGTTGTTTAAGGAAGGTGGAGGCCAGGAAACGGAAAGCTGTGCAGCGTGAGCATGGATGGGAACAATTAGTAGTGTGAAAATGTGCTATCTGAAGCTGTGTGCGTGTTTAATACAGACTCAGCTGACATTCCAGTGACATTTCTCATAGACACAGAAAAACAATGGAACCAGGAAAAATATTGAATAATCCAAGAAATCCTGAGCAAAATGACAAAGCAAGAGGTGCCACACTACCTGACTTGAAAATATATCATAAAGCTTTAGCAACCAGAAGGGCTTGGTCCTAAATTGAAAAAAAAAAAATCAAAATAGGCCAGTGGGACAGACTAGAATGCCCGGAAACAAATCTACATGTTTATGTTCCAAGAATGTTAAAGTTGTGAACAACACACATTGGAAAAAAGACTGCCTTTCCAATAAATTGTATTGAATAGTAGTATATTGTTGTTTAGCATTGTATATTAGTGTAACTGGATATCCGTATGCAAAAGAAAAAAAAAATCCCTCAATCTACGTACAAAGATAAGCTCAGATTAAAGGCTTTAAATATAAGACTGTAATGCTACTTGAAACTATGAGAAAAAAAAATCCACAAAAAATTTTTCATGAAATTAGCATGAGCAGCATTTCTTAAAATAGAAACTCCAGAAGCAGGGAAAGAACAGTGTGATTGCATCAAACAGATTCAGCTCAGCCAAGAAGTCAGTCGACAAAGAGGTAACTATTGCGTGGGAGGAAGCTTTACAAACCAGAGGTTTCATAAAGGGTTTAAATGTGAAATTCATAAGGAACTCGACTCAATAATAAGAAACCGAGTAAGAAGATTAAAAATGAGCAAAGAACCTGGAGAGATGTTACCTGTATATTTTAAAAAAAAAGTGTTGCACATCAATAATCATCAAAGAAGTGCAAGACCACGCGGAGACATCACACCACACCTGCGAACATGAGTGTTGTAAAGATGAAGGATGCACAGTGGAGAGGGCACACTGTTTGCACACTGTTGGGATAATAGATTAGTGCACTCATTATGGAAAGCAGCATGGAAGTCCCCAAACAAAACCATACTATGTCCTAACAATGCCATTTCTGGTTATAACACCAAAGAATATACAATCAGTATGTTGAAGAAATAGTGGCTTTCATATCTTCATTGCAACATGATTCACAGCAGCCAAGATATGGAAGCATCCAAGTGTCCATCCATGCATGCAAGATTTAAGAAAATGTGTTCTAAACACATAATGAGATGCTCTGCAGCCTTAAAGGGATGTTGCTCTTTGCAACAACGTGGATGAACCTGAAGAGATTATAATAAATTGAATCAGGCAGGCACAAGAAAACATACTGCTTCACAGGTCAAATCTAAGGTTGCGTGCCGATTGTCAGAGAGTAGGAGTTGGGAAAGTATTGTTCATAGGATGTAAAATTTCAGTCTCACAGAAGGAATAATTTCAAGAGAGTTTTGCAGTGTGGTGATTTTAGTTCATAACAGTTCGTTTGGGGCCAGTGTTGCATGTCAATCTGCTACCTGCGTTGCTGCCATCCCACATGAGTACCACTTCCTATCCCTGCCAATGCATCTAAGAAAGCGATGGAGGAGAGCTGAAGTGACTGGGGCCCTGCCACCCACCTGAGAGGCCTGACTGAGTTCTAGGATCTTGACTTTGGCCCGGCCCAGCATTAGCCTTTGCAGGTGTTTGGGGAGTAAACCAGTGGATGAACAACTCTCTGTTCTTTCCACTATCTCGTTCTCTTTCTCTCCCTCACCTTTTCTCTCCTTCTGTAACTCTATCTTTCAATTACATAATTATATGTAATGTTATATTTTATATATGTTATAACAGATATTGTATATTATGTTATAATCTTGAAAATTGCTGAGAGTATAGTTTCTTACCATAAAGAAAATAACTCTGTGAAGTCATGCATATGCTAATGAACTCAGTTTACCCATCCCACAATCTGTCTGTATTTCACACAATGTGCTGTGCACCTTAACTATATACAACTTCCATCTACCACTTACAAACTTTCCACTGTAGAAGTAAATGGTCTCTGAGCCTATATTGTAGCATAAGTCAGAATTCCATTTCTTTTATGGCTCAGTAATACTTTTAAATTTCTCTCTCACAGCTCCTCTGTGGACAGATACCAGGGTGATTACAAATAGTGCCACTAGCAACATGATGTGGACTGAAAGGAGCCAGATACAAAGATGAGCTTTTGTGCAAATCCATGGTGTGACGTGTCCAGCATAACCAAGTTCAGGGAAGCAGAAAGCCTACTGGTGGCTGCCAAGGGCTGAGGGGAGGGGGGCGTGGAGAGTCTCAGCTTTGTGGACGTAAGGTTTGACTTGGGGATGATGGAAATGGAGACTAGACAGAGGTGACAGTTGCCCAGCATTGTGAAGCCACTCAATGCTTCTGAATTGTTCACTCTTAGTAAAATGTTTTGTTTCGTGAATCCTGCCTCAATACATTTTTGAAACTCCATCAGTGAAAGCACCAGCTCTCTGAGATGTTACAGGTTAGCCCGGGAGGCGAGATGTGGACACGAATTCCCAAGTGCAGGAAGTGAGAGTAATCCTGAACTCCTGTCAGAAACTGTGTGTCACTGCTTGGATGGGGTTGGAAGCTGAGTCACAGGTGCAGGCCCTGAGGATTCGAACCCTGTGTTGCATGAAGACTTTGGGCTTAACTAGGAGGAGATAAAGGATGTCCTTACTTGAGCTGTTGAGCAGGAACGAATTATCCAGGGCAGGCAAGATGTTGGAAAAGAAAGGTGAGGCATTCAGTCCTTTTCTCCCCTCAGTGCCACTCTTACGGGAGCCCAGCTTCGTGCTGGCTGAAGCCAAGCCTTTGGGTAGATGGCCGTGCTGTGTGGTTCTGGATATGAGGTCCAGAACTTCTCATTTGGATTAGAGTCTCCAGTGGGTCCTCCGTGACTCACTGTCATCAATGAAAGAGGAGGAATTCTTCAGAGTGACTCGAGCAGAGTTGCTGAAACTGGATGGCATGTGTGAGAGACTAGAAATGTTGTCCCCCAAATAAGATGAGAGACAGTATCAGAAAAAAAATTAAAAACAAAAACAGGACCAATAGTTAAAAACCATCATGCTTTGTCACTAAATGCATGCGCTACTCGAGCAACCAAGCATCCGCCTCAAAGGCTGGTGCTGTCACCTGCATGGGCTGGGGTGTTTCCAGGGAATGGTACCACCAGGATGGTTGACATCGTCTCATTATAAACACAGAGCTTCTTGCGAACACTAATTAGCTATTACATTTATTCAGAGTGTTTTTCTGTGCCAAATGTGCAAATATTCCTCCCTGCCCCCCAAAAAGCAGGGAATATTGTTCTATTCTGTTGATGACAAAGAGAACATTTAAAAAGCCAAATTAACCATTGGGCTCTTCATTTCCTCCTTTAAACACCATGCTGCCAACTCTAAATACAAAAAATAAATATTTACAGATTAAAGGTCTCATTTTATTGCAAATATTCATGAAGATTAAATGTCATTTTAATCACACGTACGTTTATTTCTCTAGGCATTTCATATTTGCATGTGTTCATTCTGTGCAAGGAAATGAGTTTTCCTTGTGCCAGCTGGGGCTGATTTACCATTTGTTTTCATCCCTGCATTCGTGTGCTGTTCTTTGAATCAGAAAATATATATCATAGCCAACTAATTGGTGTTCACGGATGGAAACTTTCAGACTGCAGCTCCAAATAGGCAGAGAGGCAAAATCTCCTTTACCCATCAGAGTGACATCCAACCTACTAGGGGTTGGCTGAGGCTGAGAGACTGGCTGCTCAACATTGGGGATCTGGGAGAAATGGTGTGAAACTTGTCAGGCCTGAACTCCAGCCTGGAACTGGCCATCCATCCAGGGAAAACTGGGAAGTGCAGGTTCTGTTTCCAGGGAGCTATCAGTGGCAGTGGATACAAGCCAGCGTGTGCCATCTAGTGCCAGCCTTGGGCAGAGTTATTTCAGAGTAAATAGAACTTGGATTTCCCTCCTCCCTCCCTACTTGTCCTTTGCTCCCTTCCCACCCCCAGAAGAACAATTCAGTGTGAGATTTCATTGAATAAAAGGAAGGAAGGACAGGATTGGAAGGAAAAAATTCATTTCTAGGCAAAATCAGGTTTGTGATTGTTGGCAATTATGTTTCTTATAAGCTATAGGGTATGATGAAGCCCCTCGGGGAAAATCCACAATGTGCCCGGGTTCCCTGGGGCAGTCATTCACAGGGGAAGCACCATGACACACATTTTGAGAGCTGAGTCGCTGTTCCCTGAAGAGAGTGGCTTGCCCAGTTCAGGTGTCTTTATTGCTGCTTTATGAACAAAGGGATGCCATTCTACCTGTGCATGCTTAGAATGTGTCTTGTTAATCCCCCATTGTCCCTCTTCCTTTGAAGAACTGAAAGTTTGGCCCATGATTCCCAAGGAAAGAAAAGACCCCATACATCTCTTGTTCTTCCCACTCCATCTCTCTTTAGAAATGCCATAGAAAACTTCTCTCGGAGTCTGTTTCATCCTGATGCAACCGCCTGGAAATCCAGCAGCGCTTCCGTATTGATCGAATTCACTCCTTTTGTCCACAGAATGAAGAGCCTGTCTTCTCCAAGGATGGCCGGAAGTTTTTCTTTGTGAGAGCCATTCCCCAGGGAGGCCGAGGAAAATTCTATCACATCACTGTGTCGTCTTCCCAGGTAGGACCTGCTGGCTCCAGGGACTCTTGTGGTTTCCAAGGACTTGAAAGTGATCTTGAGAAACCAAGACTCCAAGAAGTGTTCCCAAAGGTTCAAGGCAGACCTTGGGGATCAGGCCGAGCGGCAAGCTTCACTCCTACTCTGAGTGCTCAGGAACATGAATGGTAGCTTTGGCGACAGCAGGAGAGACCCCAGGGTGTGTTCTGGGCTCCCTCCTGTGTCTGGCCTTGCCTTTCTCCCTATCTCATTCTAACTCTGGACATTGAGTTGGCCCAGACCTCTCGGGGCCTCTCCTGAGAGTGGTCAAATCATTGCTACTCCTCTTAGAACCAAGTACAATCACCATCATATGCTGTGGCTGCTCCCCAGTGTGACTTAGTTGACTCTGGAATTTGGGAGGAGGAGGAGTTACAGAGATTGATGATATTTATTTAGAGCCTAAAGAGGAGCCTCCTGTGAACACAGCATGTGCAGCAGGTCCCCCCGGGGAGGAGCTCACAGCTGCTGGAGCTGGCTGCCACTGCACTGCACCCTCTTGGGAAGAACTTGGCCTAAGCAGATGCTAAGGGTCCGTGGGTATGCCTGACCCCCACCCTCAGGGCATGGATATGCATTTTCAAGCATGGTGCAGTTACCCGGGGTCAAGGTCAAATATACATTGAACAGGGAAAAGGCTAACCAAAAAATGTTCTGTGGAGGCAAAGTGAGTGGCTCATGTTTAATGATGTGGTTCAGGCATGTCAAAGGAAGATTCTAAAACCCTCCTGTGTAGAAGCAGTTCTGGTGGGAAAAGATGGAGAAGCTGCTCACTCCAGTGATGGAGATGCTTCCCCCGAGGCTGAGGCACACATCCTCATCTCTCCTCCAGCAACCACAGGGCTTACAGACTGCCTGCAAATGCCTGCCATCCCTTCATTCCTGTGTTTTTCCATCTGTAGTGCCAGATTGCTTTGCTCTTCCCATCTTGGACCACTCCAGCTAGGATACAAACATGGCAAAGGTTTTTGTCCAGCTCTCTGTCAAGTCGATGCAAGTACTCACTCAGCCTCTGCTTACAAACCTGTCCATCTTCTGCAGGGGACGGGTCCTTGCCTGCTGCCCAGAGGTCCTCACTCTGAACCTTTGTTCATGGCTGCAGCAAGCCCTTCGAAGCCCCACTGCTTTCTGAGTCCTCTTGGCACCCTGCTTCCCTCCCACACTGCAATGTAATGTGCCTGCAATGCCAGGGTGTTGGCCTTGGATCTTCAACTAGGTTCCCCTCCATGCCCTCCAGTGCCTTCCCTCCAGAGCATTTATGGTACAGAACAGCACCTTTTGTAAACCAGTAGCTACAGATACTGGGTATGTTTCTATTGTACGTCACTGTTATAATTATTCTGCATAGCTCTAGGACACTTGTCAGGTGACTGTATGAAATACACAGTACTCAGATAGGCATTTGGGAGGTCGGCTCATCTTCCCGGGAAATACTGGGTTTAAGCCATACCTCCTGGAAGAGGAACAGGCAGTCAGGCAGGCCAGGCCTTGCTTCTACACCAGCTCAAGTTGGAGAGGAAGAGGGTCCAGCCCCGTCCTGATGTTTACCTTGTCTGTATGTTTCAGCCCAACAGCAGTAATGACAACATCCAATCCATCACTTCCGGGGACTGGGACGTGACCAAGATCCTGTCCTATGATGAGAAGCGGAATAAGATGTGAGTACTCTTTCCTTCCTAGCCAACGTCCCTCACTCCGTATTTCTTTATGACTGTGTCCTGTATCAGCAGCCTGGTTTCCACGGCGCTGGCGCCCAAGTGTGATTTGCAACCAGACCTATAGGTGAAACATGTTCACAGGGACAGGAGTGCTATGACTGGCATTATTCAATCTTTACTCATTCTGTCTCCATGCCACCTGCTTGACAAGCTTTATCTCAATTCAATGGTACTCTGAGGTAGGCTTACTCTATTTCATATTTTAAGAATAAATAAACTGAGACAAAAAGAGTGCTTTACTCCAGATTATTTGACTAGCAGCAGGTGGAGCTAGGATTCAGTGCAAATGGTGAACATCTAGGATGTTACCACAATGCCGTTCTGTATGTCTGCTCCTGTGACAAGGGCCTTTAGGGCCTTAGGTGAAAATCGGTCAGCAGGCATTTGATCAGTTGTCCCCCCCCCTTGTTCCTGTGAAGGTTACCATCTGGTAAAGACAAATCTGCTTCTAGTGTCAGATGTTCATTGTCACCATCTCCATCATCAACAACAGCAGCAGCTCTGAGGCTGAGCAGGTGCAAAAGATGCCCTGAGCCTGCAGAACCTGCCTCCTGTGCCCCTTCTCCCTTAGCTGCTCTGCCTGTAGATGTAACTGGACCTTAACAGAATTGTCCACTGTGGGCCATGGAACAGTGGTTGTCCCTAAGAGGGATCTATAAAGCTTGTATACAGTATATGATGTGTGAACTTCTTTTTTTAAATCAGACTAACCCTGTCTACTTTGGCCATCTTGCAGCTACTTCTTGAGTACGGAGGACCTGCCTCGGAGAAGACAGCTCTACAGGTAGCTCTGATCCCTGCATCCTGGGCCTGCCTCTGGCAGGGCTCCTGAGCCTTGCAAAATTATATTTTTCCTAGCAGTAGTAAGGTCAGGTCAAAGAAAGATTTTCACCATAAATTAGTAGGAAGTCTGTGAAGAAAGAATGAAAAAAGCTGAGCTCAGTAAATAAAAATAACAGATAATTGTGTCCCTTCTTGGTTTCCCCTTGATAAGTGTTTGACCATTAGCAGTGCTTCCTTCACCTTCCTCAGACACAGACGTGGAGGAGTTGCTCTCACCTGGGTGTTTCTAGAAGCACACAGTCAGGTTTAGATGTAGACCCGTGGACCGGGGACCTATGGACTCGGGGAGTGAGGCCAGCTCTGCTGTCTCAGCTTTGCTGCCCTATTGCCATGCCACTTTGCACACTGTCTCCTTTAAGGAGACAGAGTTGGGGAGGAGCTCTGAATCTCAGAGGATGACTAGATTTGTGTATACTCTGTCCCTCTGCAGCATTTATTCCTGTCACCTGCACCAGCTACTATTCTGACTGGAGAAGGTATCTCACCATAAAAGGGAGTCAGCCCTAGGCACATCCTACCAGTGGGAAGATCTCCATCTTCTTCTTTAGTGCATGTGCTGCCGGAGCAAGCGCGGCCTGCAGCTTCTTGATGCTTCCCACAGATAGACAGTCTGAATCTTCTTCGAGCCCTCCATGAGAGAAAGGATGTTGCAAGCACATTGACTACATCATACAGTGTAGACCAAAGAGCTCCAAGCCAGTGGCTCACGGTCTGCTTAGAGCCTCCCACTGCTATGATGTTGGGGAAACGCCCTGGTGTCCCCTCCATCTATTGACAGCTATATCTGAGAGTAAGATCAGCTTAGGGCGGCCTAGCTGAGGGTAGGAAACTCTTTGGCACATCCATGCAATCATTACTGTTGTCTACTAAGATTACCAACATCAGTCATGTCATCCAATTAATTAAAAATGATCAGGCAGCCTGCCCCCGACTCCAGGAATGGATGACATTAGCAGGTTGTCTTCTCTTCCATGAAATAGTTTCGTTCTTACAGTCTTTCTAAGCAAAATGTTCAGTCATGAAGCATCTGAAGTCTGGGGATACACCAGAGAGTTCACAGAAAAAAAGGGAATAAAAGACAAGTTGAAGGGTAAGCAGACACGTATCCTAGCAGTCAAGACCATGCACACCACATTGGAGTCTGTTCCAGCTTCCTACCAATGCAGACCCTAGAAGGCAAGAAGCGATTGCTCAAGTGATTGGAGACCTTAATTGCATTTCCACTCCCAACTTCAGCCCCAGTGCAGCCCTGGCCATTGCTAATGTTAGGAGAGAGAACCAGTAAATCAAACTTCTTTCTGTCGGCTTCTCTCCACTCCGCTCTTTAATCCCCTACCTCTCTATCCCCCCTTCTCACCTCTCACTCTCTGGCTCTCAAATAAGTAAAAAGATAAGTTTATTCTGGCTAAAAAGAAAAAAATTGGAAATGCATATGGAGATTTTGATAATACACATTTTACTTTTAACTTTTTTAAGTACTTTCTTATAGGTTACCTCAGGGTCTTTTAATTTGTGGTAATACACTTTAGGCTTCTCATTCTAAAATTACACTTAACCAAAATGATCCCTGAGGAGTGTCTTCAAGCCTGTGTAGCTCCATTGAATGAAAAAATAATGCCTGCCTCCACCACTTTGCTCTAGCATAAACATCACCTTTTGCAAACAGCAAATGCTCAATTCAGCCGGAATTGATAGAACCCCTTGCATGTCACCTGCCAGTATGTGGCACTCTGGGAGCTCTTGGCAGATATGGAGAACACACCTCCTGTGCCCAATCACATGGATATGAAGGGCTAGATAATGCTAGTCTGTGAGTGCAACCTCCTCATGACAGAGCCACACAGTGTAGATGACCAAGGGGACACCATGCCAGCAAGGAAAATTCCAAGAATTCTCAGGAGGCAGGGATCAGCAAGTTTGCGAAGGACTTACGAGGAAGGCAGAAGCAGAGCCAGGCAATCTCAGTTCTTCCACCAAGGAGACTGATAGGAGCAATTTCCAAAGGTCAGCAGCTGGGGTCCACGGAACACTTTTATGGGAGACATCCCTGTTCACTCCTCCTCAGCTCATGCCTGTGTGCTTGCTCTTCCAGCGCCAACACAGTGGGCAACTTCAACAGGCAGTGCCTCTCTTGCGACCTGCTTGAGAACTGCACTTACTTCAGCGCTTCCTTCAGCCACAGCTCAGACTTCTTTCTGCTCAAGTGTGAGGGTAAGTTCATGCCGCCCTGTCAAGCCTGTTGCAGGTGAATGCTGACACAGCTGCGCAGGCGCAGATGCAGCAAAGTAGAGGAAGTGGCAACAGAATTGTATTCCAAACAGGTACGGACACTGATGAAGAGAAAAAGTACTGGATAACCTCCAAATCATATCAAAGTTTATAGTCTGCAGTTAATCTCAGTTTTGTTTTTTTTTTTTTGCTTTGTCCATTTTGCAATGATAACAGTTCTGTAAGCTAGTTGGAATAAGTACGCATGGTGAATCTAGGCTCATCATGAAGGTAATAAAATTTTTTTAAATCAACTTTTTAAAACACATTGGAAAGTCCTATAGTATAAATGAAGCTTTATAAAAATATTTTCCCTGATTCAGTTCCTTGGTCATTTATCCCAAACTCCAGCAAATGCCCTCCCATTCAGAATGCACTGAGTAGTCCCCCTGTGAATATTAAATATATCTTTGTGTTTTATCTTCATTGTCTTGAAAGTTATAAGCCTATGAAAAGGTAAGTCATAATAAATGTGGCCATAAAAAGGTGTCCCAAAGAAACACGATCCATGAAGATTGTCTCAAAGAACAAAAATATGCTACAGGTGAAGGCCAACTGAGATCAGGAGTGATTCCTTCCTTGATAAGAATTCCAATTATACAAGAACTGGAAGATCTGTTCCTGCTAGAATAATGTCCTTGGCCGTCTTTGCTAACCCCTGCATGGTCATGATTGCATCTTTTTAGTGCTGTCTGAAAGCTTGGAAATGCAGAGGGCAGTGAGACTCAGTCCCTTGATTATCACCAGCTCAGCTCCTAAAAATCTTCCAAGACAATGGGAGACAACTGGGGCAGGGGTGTATGTGGAATGTAACATTAGTCTGGCAGTTCCTGCAATGCTTAAATCCCAAACCCCTCCCTCCTGTGATACTCAGACCACTGAGCAGCTGAAATCATGGGATGCTGTAACGTAGCATCTAATTAGCCCACATCATTTGTCAGTTGACAGTCTGTAGTCAGAAATTAAGGACTTTCCCTCCCTCCTGTGAATCGGTGATACACGGAGGACCAACACCCTAGCTCTCACTTTCTAGCCCAGTGCTGTCTCCCCACAGCATAAACTTCAATAAAAAACACTTTGGTCAAATACAAAGCTCCAATGGCACTAGAGAGGAAAGAAATGGGCAAACAGACCGTGAGAAACTGTAAAACCCTCAGAGAAAGAGGAGGTGACTTGAAAACTCATGATAAAAATATTAGGGGATAGGTAAAGTGGCTATGAAGAAGACATCCTGAACAAAAAATGATTGAATGAGAAAGGTGATAGAAACTGCATTGGGACGGTAACCATATCATTTTTCAGAAGTGGGTTTACTGGGGCCTCATTAGAAGGCAAAGCATGGACTAGATACCTTTGAAATTTGGGGGTTTAAGTGTTTAAGCAGCAACCATTTACATTTAGATTTCTTGTATTCTTATTCACTCTTGCTGATATTCATTCCATAAAGTGATCCTTCATGGAATCTAACATCTTATTTGTTAACAAATCTTTTAGCTGCTTTCCTTTGGAGGTCAAATACTGCCTGCTAAGTTTAAAGAAAAGTTGAATATGGATGCATCATTTCCAATAACTGACAACCATAACTGGTCCATTTCCATGAGTCCTACCCCTAGACTGAAATCTGAAGGGTTCTTCCCAGGTATTGATGGCTCTGAGCTGAAGCAAGAAAATTTCAGTGTCCCCCATGGTGATCTAAAATGGTACCCTTGCTGAGAGGCTGTTTGGACCAAGTGTGTTTGGAAATCACTGAACAGTTGGTTGTATGCAAATCTCCTGGTAGCCTGCTGGCATTCTCTGCTTGGCAGGGAATAGCCATTATGGGACATTGGCTGTCTCTAGGGCCCATTGTGTTACAATGCTCAAATGCTCAGCGTAAAGAACTAATTCCTCAGTTGTGACTAAGGAAAAAAACAGAAGCAAAGATGCAAAAGTAAAGCCACTCCCTAGTTGCAAACACAGTTAATCCAACCGCTGAGCACCTGTGTGACCTACTATTGCGAAAGGAGGGAATGGCCTCACCAATGCCTGGATCTTCACAGATTCAAAGAATTTAAGGAATAGCAAAAGATCTCACAAACAATCTAATCTCTAAGATATCTCCTTTTTTTTAAAATGACCTCTTGATTATGAAATCGTCACCCTCAAGTTCTTCCAAATTACCTAAAATATATTTAAATATTTATCCTGTTATCTTAATTAAGCATAGATAAGCCATCTTCTTTGAAAAACAGAAGTGGCTCTATTTAAATTTTCTCTAAGAATTTATTTTCTGGCTAAAGTAAATTAAATGGCCAAACTGACCTTTCCCACAAAGCCCTGTGTTTAAAAAGGGGTCTTCTACAAAGGTACAAATTTCCCAAAATAGCAAAATAGGAAGAGGAGACAATAGCAGCCAACTTGTCAAACTTGGAAGAAATTTCAAGGTAAGTGAGATTTCGCAGTCCCTACAGCTGTACTCTGATCCAGCAATAAGGAAAGCTGAGCAATGACCCAGTTTATGCCACAACCTTTAACAAGGGTTGTCAGGAGGAATGCAAAGATCAATGGGTATGAAATTTTAAAGGAGCGAATGAGTAGACCCAGAGGACTTGCTTGGGATTCTTTGTTGGTGGAAAAGAATGGAGGAAGGCTTCACGGATGGGATAGCATTTGAAATAAAGTAGGATTTCGACCATGAAGAAAGTTCAAAGGGAAGTTAGACCTGGGAAAACATACCAGGAGCAATCTAAGATTTTACACTGGAAATTTTGTGCAGCCTCTGAATCGCACCAAGCTAGGGAGCACTGACATGTAAGAAGCACAATTTAACAGCCGAAGGTAATTTGTAGTAATTTATTTTCCCCCATACTTCTCAGCAGATATTAAGGTGAATCCAACATTTATGAAGCTTCCTTTTCCTCTCCTGTTTATTTTGTTGTTTCATAAAGATACACTTCGAAAAGTTTGATAGCTTCTCAAATCCTGGTGTTAGAAGTTCTTGTTTTGCTTAGCCTGCCTGTGCAAGCAGATTTTTTAAAGATTTATTTGTTTGTTTGTTTGTTTATTTTTGAAAAGTCAAGTTTACAGAGAGAAGGAGAGACAGAGAGAATGATATGGCCACTGCTTTACTCCCCAAGTGACCATAATGGCCAGACATGAGCCAATCCAAAGCCAGGAGCCAGGAACTTCTTCTAGGTCTCCCACATGAGTGCAGGGTCCCAAGGCTTTGGGCCATCCTCAACTGCTTTCCCAGGCCACAGGCTGGATGGGAAGTAGGGAAACCAAGACACAAACTGGCGCTCATATGGATCCCAGTGCATGCAAGGTGCAAACTTTAGTCATGAGGCGACCACACCAGGCACACAAGCAGAATTTTTTAAAAAAGAAAAACTCCATCCTTTTTTATGGAAAATTTCTTGGCAAAGAGAGGGCTCCTTTTTAGTGAATTAGACAGTTGAAAATCTGTAAATTCGCCCATGTTTAGAATTGTTCCAACTTTCACATAAAGAATGGCATGTGCATCAGTGTGAGCACAAGCAGCGATGACAGTCTAAGAATTTGATGAGAATTGTGTGGACTCCACCTCGCCAGAATGGATGGTCCCTGGTTAGATTATGATAGCACAGCAGCCTTGGGTGTCCTTTTCGTAGCTATAAATTTTTTTTTTATTGCTGATAACATTGTATTGTGTGATACAGTTTTATAGGTGCTTGGATTTCCCCCGCTCCTCCCCCAACCCTCCTCCCATGGTGGATTCCTCCACCTTGCTGCATAACCACAGTTCAAGTTCAGTTGAGATTCCTTCATTGCAAGCACATACCCAGCATTGAGTCCAGCATCTTATTGTCCTGATAACTTTAACGGCTTCTTGGGGAGACCTTCTCTGGTCCGAAGGCAAAGCTAACAGAGTAAAATCCCGGTCAGTTAAAAGCCCCAACAAAACTTCAGCAACTATATATAGTGTTATGGAATTAATTGACATAGTGTTGAGTAAACAATATGTTGAAAATAATGCAAGTTCAATTTTTCAAAACACATATGTTGAAACAGTATCAATGACAGGATCAAAAAAAAAAAACAGGTTAAATTAAGGCAAACATGTGGTATCTAACCCTTTGGGATTCGCTTATTTCCCTTAGCATTATAGTTTCCAGTTGGGCCCATTTAGTCACAAAGAACTGCATTTTGTTTTTTTTAATAGCTGAGTAGTATTCCATGGAGTAGATGAACCAAAACTTTCTTATCCAATCTTCTGTTGATGGGCATTTCAGTTGCTTCCAGGTTTTTGCAATTACTGATTGTGCTGCTATGAACATAGGGGTGCATGTTGGCTTGTCGTGAAACAGGTGTTTTGGATATATTCCTAGGAGTGCTATTGCTGGATCATATGGTATGCAGATTTTGAGTTGTTTAAGTGTTCTCCAGACTGATTTCCATAGAGGCTGTACCAACCTGCAGCCCCACCAGCAATGGAGCAGGGTTCCCTTTTCCCCACATCCTCACCAACAAGTGTTGTTGATGTTCTTTTTTATGTGGGCCAGTCTTACTGGTGTTAGGTGGTACCTCATCGATGTCTTAATTTGGATTTCCCTTATTGCCAGGGAGCTGGAGCATTTTTTCATGTGTGTTTGCCATTTGGGCTTGTTCCTTTGTGAAATGTTTGCCCATTTCCCGTGCCCATTTCTTGAGTGGTTTGTTTGTTTTGGTGTTTTGGTTGTTTTGAAGTTCTTTGTATATCCTGGAGATTAGCCCCTATCACCTATATAGTGTGCAAAGATCTTCTCCCACTCTGTGGGTTGCTTTTTTACTTTGCTGATTGCTTCCCTTGCTGTACAGAAGCTTCTTAGTTTGATGAGGTCCCATTTGTTTATTTTAGTCTTGACTGTTATTGCTTTTGGTGTCCTTCTTACAAAGTCAGGACCTACTCCCAGGTCTTGCAGGGTATTTCCAACATTTTCTTCCAA